GGGTACGGCGGCGGGGCAACGGGGGGCGCCTGCCGCCGCAGGCAGCAAAGAGGCAAAATGGCTCTTGCCCTCCTCTTGGCAGCAATCCTGGGACTTCTTATTGTCAAGGCTGTTTTGTTTCAGCTGAGAAACCCGAGCTCCCCTCCTTGCATTGGGAGCTGGATCCCTTGGTTTGGAGCTGCGTTTCAGTTCGGGAAAGCTCCTCTGGAGTTTATAGAGCACGCCAGAAGCAAGGTAATGGCTGTGGCGGTGTGCCTGCTCGCGGGTGCGTGCTCAGGGTGGCTGCCTGCGAGGGGAAAGGCAGGGAGAAACTTCTGCATTAAGTTTGCCTTTTTCCTCTCATGTTTTATAACACCAGGAGCATTTAGCTGGTGAAGGATCAGCTCTGTACCAGTAACTTTGCTAAATTGTGGAGCCGATCCAGGCGTGATTTCTGTGCTGCGATCATTCTGTCTGGACCCAGGACCTCTGCGGTTTTGCTTTTGCAGACTGGCTGCATGTTAATCTCAGTTTCAGATAACCTGGAGAGCCCTGTGCCCAGCACCAGGACCAGGAGACTACTTACTTGCGTGCCTAAAGTTAGGTGAAATTTCTGAGTACCAGCTGGTGTCCCTCAACATACAAGAGAGGCACAGACACGCTTGGCAGGCAGCTTTTGCCACCCTAAAAAACTTATCAAAGACGAGTGCAAAGATTTAACCCCTGGGCATGCTTTCCTTTCTCTGTGTCTGTCTGATACAGAGAACCTAAATGATCTATTTAGTTTAGATGCTTAATTTCTAGGCAGCTAGTAGTAACTGGTGTAAAGCCCATCTTCCCATTTTCATCTGATGATGATATCATTTGCTACTGGTGCAATATAGTCAGCCTCAGGTATTCAATCCTGAAGGATTGAACAGCCCACTAGTGGCAAAAAACTAACTAAAAAAGAAACCACTGTAACATCTTGAAATTTGGCGGGAAAAAAAAAAGAAATACTGAATGTTTAAAATTTGCTTGCTCATTTTGGACTCTTAGATTTCATATTTCTAAGTACTGCTTTGCAGCCATGGTTGTTACAAACTTGTGGCATTAAATGAAAGCAGAAGTTCAAGTATAATCAGCCGAAGGATGAGGTATAAGAACATCAAGAGTTGTCTTGTCTTAAAGCATGTTGGGTGCAGCACAGAGTAAACTCATGTCTGTGATCTTGAGTTCCTTGGCTTCCTTGAGCTTGGCAGGCTGGGTTTAACCATATGTTAAGATGTCTTTCCTGTGTCTTTCATCTGTGCATACCCTGATCAGTTATTTGTTCATTCTCCTCAGGGCAGAAATGCAGGACTTGAAGAAAACTCATTCCAGTCCATTTTCCTACTATTTCAGAAAAAAATCCTTTAAATATACTGATCAAGCAAAAAAAAGATCTTATAATATTTCTTTGACTATTCTGATACGAGACTATTAAAGAACATTCTTGTTCTACTGAAAACATCCTGGTGGCACCCAGATTAAAGCAGCTCACCAAACTGTCCTTTCTAGTGCAATCCCTTTTGGGGACAGATGTTTCGCTATGACTTAAGCTTGCTTTAGTTGCTTTTTTCCCCAGGAAGCTTCTAGCAAAATCTCTTAGATGAGATTTTAAAGCAAATGTGATGGAAGAGTCTTTTGTGGAGCTTCATCCACAGATTGATTGAGCAAAACTTATGCATACTAAAGAATGCATTGAAGTACAAATGCAAACTTAGCGGCTCCGCATCAGTTTTGATGTCCATGTGCCTGGAAACCCTCTAGGCAGCTGCTGACATATCTGAACACACCAGAAACACCTGAAGGACTTTAAAAATCTCGTGTTTTGTTGAGACAGAAACTAGAGAAACAAACATATTCAATGTGAGAAAATTCAAAGCAAAGCAGAAAGAGGCGACACACCAGAAACACCTGAAGGACTTTAAAAAGCTTGTGTTTTGTTGAGACAGAGAGAAACAAACATATTCAATGTGAGAAAACTCAAAGCAAAGCAGAAAGAGGCAGCTTCCTTACGTATCTCCCCTTCACTGTGTGTTTGCAGACAGAACCTTTCCTCTGACTTTTTTCTTAGTCCATCAACCCAGCATCCTTCTGACTTTTGACCCCTCCCCGGGGTCTCCCTGGGCCAAGAGGGACCCTTCCATCCCCCCCAACCCCAGGCTTGCTCCCTGCCCCTCTTGCTCTCCCCTTCCCTTAGACTCCAGGCATCTCTCTCTCCCTCCCTTCCCAGCTCCCAGGCTGGTAGGATGTGCTGAGGCCAAGCAAGGCAAACCTCCTCCTGCCTGCTCGCTTTTAAAGGAGAACACGCTGCAGAACAGCGTGGCCAACGAAAACAGATGCTTCTGCCAAAGGGGTCATTAACCGAGGGCTCGCAAAATACCACAAAAGGGGTGGTTGCAAAATACATCTGCAATAATTCCAAGCTTTTGGA